TCACTCCCCTCAGGAGAGCCCCTCAAAGGAGCTAATACTCAGTCCCAGCAAGTACCTCTGCAAAAAAAAAAAAAAATCCTGGCAACATTTACCTGCTTCCGTGGGTTTACCCTTTCACATTAACATTAGGTAATAAATACCAGCCTCAAATTGAAGTAACATCTAGTTTCCCCATTTCTATGCTTTCTCTCTCCCTAAAGGACATCCTCTCTTTAGACTCCAGCATATGTCTTTTTGCCAGTTTATACTCAGAACCATGTCTCCCTTGCTTTGCAAAAAGCTGCTTCTCAGAGCACCTCCCTCAGAACCAGTTTGGTGTAGTGGTTAAGTGCGTGGACTCTAATCTGGGAGAACCAGGTTTGATTCCCCACTCCTCCACTTGCACCTGCTGGATGATCTTGGGCAAGCCATAGTTCTGGCACAGCTGTTCTTGAAAAAGAGCAGTTTCTGTCAGAGCTCTCTCAGTCCCACCTACCTCACAGGGTGTTTGTTGTGGGGAGGGGAAGGGAAAGGAGTTTATAAGTCGCTCTGAGACTCCCTTGGGCTGTGAAAGATGGGGTATAAATCCAATCTCTTCTTCATCTTCATCTTTATCTTCTTCTTCACCAGAACCTTTGCCTGGGAGAGACCATGGTGGCATTCTATGGGGTTTTGCTCTGCCAAGGGAGGTGTGGAGGTGTCTCAGTAGCCTACTGCACTGGACAATCCCTTGCACTGACTGAATGTGCAGGAAAAGAGTGTGCTGGCTTCACCCCTTACCTCTACAAGAATGCCTGGTTGTCTGCAGGGGAAGCTGTGCAGAGGAAATAGCTATGCAAACTCTTCCTTCTTCCATGATCAGCGACATTCCAAAACCAGCACTGCTGGCCACAAGGATGGAGCGTTCACACAGCCACTTCTGTACCCACTTTCCCCTGCAGATAAACGGGCAATGGGTTGGGTCCCATGAATTCAGTTGGGTGCTCTGGGTTAGTGAAGCACCAGCATCTGGGTCTTAGGAATGTCCCAACAATCTAGTAGCAGCTGTTTTGCCTTGAAAAAGAAAGAAAACGCTACTATATTAAATGAAGTATGGTCTTTTAAACAAACACAGCGAACATGATTAAGGACAAGGACTGGGCTCTTGGGCAGCTGAAACTTTTCATGACACGGAGCTAAATAACATCCCATGACCACTGCCACAGATCAAACTGATATTATACAGACAACCAGGGGAACCAGTTAAAAAACTGTCAACCCTAACATGAAATCTATCCTTTCCCCCATCATTTTAGGTTGCTCTTCCTTCAGGGAGACTCTTGGCCTTTCATATGCACGACATGGCATAAATATGCTCAGCTGGTCTGCCTCCAAAAGGGAAATCATCAAAAGAGCTGTGCATGTCCGTACAAGACCTGACAGGCTCAAGAGACCAAAGTGAGTCATGGCAGCGATCTGCAGCCCATCTACATATGAAAGGTAGCATTAAAAAAATTACCACAGCAAACTCGACATGAGCATAGCTAATAATACCATTTGCTTCTAAAAATCCTTCAGGCAAGAAAAGCAAATTCTAGAGTTGGTGTCTTTCTGATAACTAATTCTAAATTCACGATGAAAAGACAGCGGAAAGAAGGAAGATATTAATCTGAATAAAGATGAGCAGGACGGAATAAAACACACGGCACTAAAAATGTCAAATCAGATGACACTGAGCAAATGGAAGGGAGAGAGGGTTGCGGCATCTGGCTTGGGAAACTGCTGGAGACTGGGAGTCGTGCCTGGGGAGGGCAGAATTTGGGTAGGGGAGGAAGGATAGCAGGGATGGGGTGTCACTCTAGGACTTCCATTTCTCCTGAATTCTATGGTATACTATAGAGTTCACCCTCCAGAGTTGCCATATCCTCCATGGGAGCCAATCTCTGTAATCTGGAGTGCAACTGTAACTCTGGGAGAACTTCAGGTTCCACCTCAAGATTGGTAACCCTAAAACAAAGATGTGCAATGACCACATGAAGCAGCATTTCTCTGAGTCAGACCACTGATCCCTCAAGAGTCCTTACTGTCTGATCAGTTAGTTGTGGGTTTCCACTAAAGAAGAGGCTATTCCTTTCGATGCACAGCAACTGCAACTGACTGAAATAGCAAAAAAAAACCCAGATAAAACTGAACAAGAAGTAAAAGAAGTGGATACCAACACTAAAAAGCTTAAAAAACAACTCCAGGTGATGGGAAAAAAGAGACTGATGGAGGAGTCTCAACTGTTACAGCTACAAATGGAGAGAGCAAGCTATGTCTTAAGATTTCAAGGTGTTACTGAAGAAAAACTGAGAATCTGAAACAGACTATGTGTGAAATATTAGAACCTATGGCAGATATAAAAACGGACACACTACAAAGCGAAATAGATATGATCTATAGATCATATCCAGAATTTTCAAGAAAAAATAATCTGCCTGGGGAAGTGATTATAAGATTCTCAAGAAGACAAGTGAGAGATCAAATACTTAAAGCGACAAATGGATCTACCTTGAAGAAATAAAAGTGTTAAAGGACATCCTGTTTGAAATAAGAAGGAAGAGGAGGAAATATAGAGACTTGGTGACATTTTTACAAAAGAAAAACATCCCTTACAGATGGTTAGTCCCCAAAGGTACAATCTTCAAATTCATGGACAAGAAAGAAAAAATTGACTCTGTTGAAAAGGCACGTGAATTTTTGCATCTACATAGTCATCCATCAGGAGAGGTAGAAGCGGAGAAAGAGGACAGCACTAAATATAGCGAAGAAGAAGAAGCAGCGGCATCTTCAGATGACGACTCAGACTCCAAATTAGGGGCAGTTGCCCCAAAGACAAGTTACCATTTGAGAAAGCAAAAATATAAAAAATGAGATGTTATTACACTCTGAAAGCTCTTATAATGTATTATTATAAATGTCTTATATTGCTTTTTAAGTTGTCAGAAGTAGAGGTGTTTAAAGTTATATTACCAGCATAAATTGATTGTTAGAGGACCACATTCAATGAACTTGAATGGAATTATGAGCTAAAAGCTAAACTTGTTAAGCAATCACAGCTGAGTGTTGAGCAGGATTTTTTCCTTGTGTCCGTAATATAGCCCCTCTCAAAATGTTTCACATTTTTAAAAAGCTAAACTTGTTAAGCAGTATGTATGACCACCATCTCTTGGGTTTTTAGTGGGTTTTCTTTACTTTCTCCCATAGTATGTAGTTCCCTTCCCTAATTTCGTTGTAGTTTTAATAGTTTGTAGTTTATAGAAAATGCAAATTTAAAAATCTGGTATTTTTGGCCACTGTGTGACAGAGTGTTGGACTAGATGGGCCTTTGGCCTGATCCAACTTTGGCGTCTCTTAAAAAAAAAAATCCCCTACAG